CCATGTTTTTTAATTGGCTTGGGCTTGAAACTATGATGTTTTGTTGTACGCAGCTATGATTCAACTGAGCGAGGTGTGGACTTTAGGTTCAGAGACAGAAAAAACCTGTCCTGTTTTTAGGCTCTGGATAGGTTGCTATGTTGCCAGAAGCATATCAGAACCAATGTTGTAATTCAACAAGATTACTTTGCTTCGGCCATTGTTTGTTTATGCGTATTTTTTTTTTGTTTATTTCTTAATGTTGGGTTGATGACGCGAGCTGAATTGCAGTCTGCATTCATTGCTAGCCTCGATATTATGAACGTGTACTATGATTCGGTCTTGGATTTAAGCAAATACATTAAATTAGGGTGGCTGGATCACTCCCGTAGAAATAAACTAGTACGCTTCTAAAGCCTGTATCGAAATTATAAGTGCCTCCGATCTGACGACATAGCTCACCTTATCTGTATTCGAAAAAACGTGTTCGAAACGTCGACGGCAAAAGATATTAAAAAAATTCAATTTTAATACGTATAAACATCTACAAAATAATGTATGGTCTATTACGCTGATTATTAAGATACTGTGTTCTGTCGACTTCACGGGATTTTATAATTATATATATTTATATTCAAATATGTGTTCCAATGTACGTGTCTATATGGGCTTAAAAATAATCATGTACCTATGCGATAGCCGCTTGCAAAACTCCAAGCGCACCTCTCAGCCATACCAACATTTTCGAGAAGGGTACAAAGCCGTTAGTGTATCTAGGCTTTAATATTGAAAAGTTGCCGCGCTTAAAAAGCTCTTTTTCCCCTTTTCCGCTGCTTTTTGCTTGCTTCCGACGTACAGCTTGAAAGCGTTCTTCCTGCTTTAGCGGCATGCTCTAATGATGTTGTATTGCGAGTGCAATTCAAATCGATGGAAAAAAAGCATATATATATGTACACTATAGATATCTTGGAGGCCACAACGCCTCCTGGAAACGCAGTCCAAGATATTTTCCCTGTTGTACGAACACGATGCTATCGTGAAAAAGATTGCCCAAGAATGGTTTGTTCAACTTAAGAACGGTACGTGGCAAATAAAGTATGCCCCCACTCTGGCCGACCGTCTGAGTTTGATGGCAGCCATCTGAAGTCACGTTTGGCGGAGGACGGCCGACAAACAGCCGCAAATCAGCCGAAAGGGTGTGCTGCAGCTACACTACCATCTTTAACCATTTTCAGTCATTTGGATTTGCCCAGAAACCTGGAACTCGCTTACCTCATAAACTTTCTCAAATCAACAAAGGATTATGGCTTAACGCGTGTCACGCGGCTACGACGACGGAAATTTTGCACAGATCCTTCACCAGTTATGAGAAGTATTATCTATATGCCAATGAACCGGGGATCAGAATGGGTAGCTCCAGGAAAAAGCCCAAAGTCCAACCAGATTTTCATCCAAATAAACTTATGTTTAGCGTTTGGTGGGATTTCGAAAGCCTGCTTCACTGAGAACTACTTCCTATGAATCGGCTCGTTTATTTCACCCGGTTACATCAAGTCGGCCAAATTATTTAGCAGAAAAGCCCTGACAAACGAGATCAACTTATCCTGTTCTATGACAATACAAATATCGTCAAAGCCATCCTTCTGGACTTCGAACAAGATGTTTTATTGTTCCGTTCGCATGCGCCGACGAAATTGCATTTATTGTTTCCTGGACTATCACCTTTGTGGCCATGCCTTCGATACGGGTCAATAATTCAGAACGTGCTTGATCGGGATAAAGCCTGCTACCCTTTCATTTTGTGAAAACATAGGAGAAAGTCACAGACTGAGAACTCGTAATCAGCTGGATGGGCACGGAGCGTGCTTCCCGTAAGCAGTGTCAATCACTGTTTTCCATATTAAGTGCTCTATTGGATTTTGAGAGTGGTCACGAATGAATTTTTTGCAACAGTATCTCTACAACGCTTCCTTAAGGTTTTGGTCGGAAGAGTTTGTTTCGTACCTCACCTATACACAGGCGTCGCTATAAATAAGGCAAAAATCCTATTTTCCTAATGTGACCGTTCGGAGACGAGTTCTACCACAGACTGTTCAAAAGTAAGGTGATATTCCATCGGGTGCAAAACTGTTTTTAGATAAAACTTGCCGAAATTGTTGTACGATACTTGCCTCTGTGACCACCATTAGGAGACGACGTCATCGTTCAGTCGCGACAAGAGTTTTAACCAAGAAAACGAGCAGGAGACCGGAGACCAAGTTGCCTGCATTGAGGCTCCTTTTACAACTTTCTCAGCAGGAGCAAGAATCGCCATCTTTCCCTTGCCCTTGAAATGTTAATTTGGGGCATCAACAAAAAGATTCTATGTTCTAGGTTTGGATGCTTACATGAAAAATATCTTTTTTATGGAGGAAGGCCTGTCATTATCGGATTCGTGCAATTGTTGGGCCACTATTAAACGACACAGTTGCTTCAATATAGAAATTTAGAAAAACATTTCTATATTTAGTTTATTGTGCTGCTCTATCTAGGAATCAACAGGAACAACTATGCATAGAGGCTATGTGTATTAAATAAAAAATCAGCGTCTGACTAACGACATATTGGAAAAATCAAATTAATGCCAGTTTGCCTAAGACAGGTCCATTGGTCAAATGGAACAGAGCCTAAACCGTTACTGAAATAAATCAGGCCGCGAGGGTTCACTGCAGAAATTGTTGCGCTTTGAAGTTAATTTCTATTGTCTGAACTGACCCGGTACCCACCCAGTGCGATGTGTGTCTATTTGAAATCAAGCAGAAAAATGTATCGCTTATCACTATTACATATTTCTGAAAGGAGTAGATATAGCTTGATTACATATATTAATCTGAGGGCTGCTCGTTTCAAATAGATGACTAATACGCATTGCCGCCCCACGGAGGCATTCGTAGTTCAGTGCTCGTTTCTGATACCGTATTACAACCACGCTTGATAGAGAGCTTGGCTTGCGATTAAACTAGCGTTATAGTAACTTTTGCTAAAACTTCAACTTATTCTAATGTAGGTACTGCTTCAAAGGGACACGGACAACAAAACGGCTTAAATGAAAGCTCATAAAGACCTACGCAACAAACTTAGTTATATTGTTGATAGATGAACAAGCGAACGCTTTTCGGTAACCAGATAGCCAAATGTCGACCTATGAGCGTAGACAATGGTCACTGTTTCACAGGATGCGTCTAGTTCGGTTTACGTGGTTTCCATAAAGCATACCCTTTACCAGCTAGAACCGATGAAAAACATCGAAGGCTTTGTGTGATTCAATGTCATCTACGGCGACCTGTTAAATTGTAGTAATTCTGAACGGACACTAGAGACACGTGACCTTGTAACCGACACACAATACGACAGACTATGGTTTTTCCTTTAGATACCCTGACAATCAGGCCACTCTGGCGGCATTATTCTGGGGGCGCCAGAACGCACTGCTCGAATCAACATGGAGGTAATCGACCAACAAACGGATTAACGCATAGCTTACCCTCAGTGGATCGTGCCGCGACAAGAACTTAATAATAACAGTGAATACAGGATGGACTTCCGTTCCGGTAGTCGTCAAACAAGAGTTGACATCAGTAACAAGGTTGTTATTAAACTCCTTTTGGGCAACGGTGTTCTGTGTCGTCCATGTTTCTACTGAGGGAAAAAACCACAAGAATTGCGTGTACTACGATGTACGTTGAATGACGAAATACCGTTTTTTACGCGGTTTGACCCTGCAAACTACGCTGGCATCTCGGAGATCTTGATCTAACTACGTCAATCCATAAATGCAACTACACTAATAAACATCTAGAAAAATGGAAGCTCATCATTATATATCTCAGCACAATGGGGACAGCTAACCGTTGCGTAATAGGTTCTTGATCATAACCTTCCTTTAAGTAGAAAAAGGCTATGTTTATTGTTTGTTGCTTTTCCTATATATATATATATATATATATATATATATTTGATTGTAATTAGGAAAATCTTCGTTATTTCTTACGACCGGGCTTGTGCTAATTGCCTCGACCACCGGGTGACATTTCGTCAGACGGCTAACTCCCACCACAAGACGAAGTATATCTATGCCCGGATTCGAATCTAGCCCACGTTATACGCTAGGACTTCAGTTAGCATGTAAATTCCGCGACAAACAGAATATGCTTGAGAGGCTAGCTATCTTGTGTGAAAATAAACAAACGCTTTTACATTTATGATACTCATATGTGGCGTAGAGCGACAGACTGAGCAGTGCTGCTGTGCAAAATGTTCACTCCGGATGTAGGTGACGTGTACTTTCAGTACGCTCGAGTTAGGCTGAACTCTCAACTCAACAACAAATGTGGTCACGGTAATTTAGGCTGACCCCATCACGTAATAATAGCATTGGAGCCCTATGCAGTGGGCCTTTACACCTGGATAGACCGTCTCGGTTATCCGTTCTATTATAGTTCTCTGCGACTATGGGTATTTCTTCCTGTGATATTCGTCGTTCCCTCTTGAAGCAGTTCAAGTGCTGAGGAAACGTTGCGGTAGATTTGTTGCGGATGACCATAAATAACGCTGTAGCAATGATCGGACGAGTAGAGACGGCGGAGGGGGTGTTGTTAACAAATGAGTGTCGGCTCTCGTGCTACGAACACCGGCCTGAAGGGGACCTAGCGATTCATCTAGGCGCTTCTCTGTTTCGTACTCAATGCTGTTTTAGCTACATTCTAAATACTAGTTTGTACCGACGGGTACCGTGTAGATCTAGCTTGCTAGTTGTATACCATGTCATTTGGGAAAAGTGCACAACTGGCAGGGACGGGGGAAATTCACTTCTCACGTATAGCAAACACAAACACAGGCTAAGCAAGCTCCTGCAAGATCTTGAGTCTCATGGAGAGAAGCGAAATAGGTTATATCTAGCATTGTGTACAACTAGTTAGTATATAATAATAGGTAACTGTGCTCTATATAGATAGGATTGATTGAAAAATTTAATCGCTGACATTAAATCTATGTGCGATTGCCTTAGCTATCCTTCCATGGTGTGTTAGCGGAGTCCTGCTGTCGATGAGGCTGCATCCCTCTTGCCCTACAATGTCAAGTAGTGATTGATGTCGATTTCACACACGGTCCTGCTAGTCCTGTCGTACACGATCTGGCTGCTGATGTCGTTTTTAGGCCATCGTTTTCGGCAATTGCGAAGTATCGTATAGAAATATGAAATGAAAAAAGTCCTGTTAGCACCTTTCAAGTTAAATCAACATCGGTCTCTAATAAAGTCCGCGTTGCAGAAAAGCAACGAATCTCACGAACGGTTTGCGTATTTCTAGCTAAAATTTCTTCATATGAGCACCGTCGATATTAATCGAATGCATTGTTATCTAATCATAGAGTGGCTATAGGCAAATAGCTACAGATTTTATTAAAATGTTCTATAGTGTATTTCAACACGCTCTTCTCTGTTTTGCTACATGTCGGACCGTTTGTGAATTGCTGCTATGATAAATTTTCTACCGGAGTTGTCCTTAAACTTATGTATGTGATTACTCTTTCCACCCACGTAGCCCTTGAACCTCTTCAAGCGGGCATTCATGCTAGAATATTGAAATTATCGATAATGTGGCACCCGTACCTGTGTGGCCTATGATACAAGATTTTTTGCTATATCAAGTCCTGCTAGGCACATACTTCCAGTAAGGTCTGTCCTTGCGCAGTTCATCCGCTGACGCACACAGTCTATCTATAGAGCGTTAATGATCGTCGTTGTCACCGCGTTCATCTATTAGAAGCACGCGTTTTTGATGTCCTAATCTATTGAGATATCGATGTGTGTGCGTAATAGCGTTGTCTCTTTGGAAGCAGTCGCACCCTTTTCAGATCGTCAGTACGCTCCAATCAACAACTCGATCGGTATCGTCACATCAGAACTAGCGTCAGTCACACTGTCCCTGTTCAGCAGCTTCGTATTGCTTCTCTAGTTAATAGTTCGCCTAGTCTGTAGTCCAATAGTTTATCAATACTCGCTAGCGGTATAAAAAGCAGCGGCCGCAGATCGAATAGGCAACAACAGCACGCGATTGCCTAAAAACAGGTCGGCCAGTATCCGGTCAACCCCTGCCTCGTGAACGCTATATTGGATGTCGCGTGTAATATACCCTAGCGATGAATTTCTGCCTTTCATTGATGTCTATCCTTGGTTCGTTCTTAATCCATTGCCGATCTACATATACATATTCGTATATATATATATATATGTTCGTAGACCATGTACATGCCTAGACGCTTATGCACAGATGATCTGTAAGCCTGTGCCGCAACTGTTACGAGATCAGTTGTGACCATTGCGTAGACTGCATCATGGCCTAGCATAAGGGGTACTTACGGCAGACGATAGTTTCATTTTTAGCCTTGTTTTTACTCCTTTGTGTTGTGATAGTGTAGCAACAGGCAGGCAGAAATCCATGACATTCGGAAACAATGGATGTACAAGACCTCAATAGGAGAGGGGTAGGTTAGAGCTTCCGGGTGATATGGATCGAGGTCTTCGTTGCTAGTAATCTGACCAAAATTAACAATAGCCTAGCCGTCGATTCACCTCGATATTATAAACGAGTATGCACATACTCTGCATTGCACCTTCGACGACACGATCATCAGAGACGAAGTTGCGATAGCCTTAGGTTATCTCATAGACTAGTTATGAAAGTTCAACTTAATGTTTAAAAACATATGCTAGTAAAAAAACCTGTAATAAACATTGTCGTTACTTAAAGATACGCTTAAGCAAGTAGTAAATCGGAAGCCTATTCGTACTATTATAGGGGTCGAAATATCCAGGTGTCTGTCAGGCCAACGACGGATCTTGTTCCCCTTAAAAGTGTACAGCTATTAATCTGCTGAGCCTCTTTTCAAACAGCTATGATCGAAAAAATGGGCCGTATCCCGTACCTCAGGCCAGTACCTGTAATTAATACTTGAGGTAAGAAAATAACCTTGTCAAGAAATTTTCGGAATAGAAATCAGAGTGGAGAGAGCGTTTATACATCAGGAACGTATCGAATATTGCGATTACAATTTCTGTCTGGTTAGCCCCATAGCACTCCATTCATCTTCGGATTACAGAACGCTTACTTCACTGTATCCGAATATTGGAATAGTAAATCCTAAAGTGGTATATACACGTTCGTACGCTTCGTAACAAGGTAGAACGAGGACTAGCTGCGAGCCTCAACAATTCGACCTTTTTTTTAAATCTAGACATTAGGTACACAAAAAACAGTTATATGACTATAGCTGTAGTATTGTCAATGAAATAGTTACATAGATGGCTGTGATACCTATAGCACACAGTTGTGCTTAAAAAATATCTTTCATAAGATTATGTTCTTATAAGTTTTAATAAATTTCTGCGACTCATAAAAACACTTTCTCATATTGTATTTACTGCCTACTGATTATACTGTATCAATTGTGGATACAAATGAAGGTTTGTAACAAGTACGGCGCTTCAACGCTACAGCTGTCTGAAATTTTAACGATAATGGCGGAAAGTTGTATATCCAAAGTTGTAAGGGCTCTAACGTGCCGCGACTAATGTGCCTACTGGTGAGCCTGACACTGTGGCGTATAGAAAACGTCTACGGGGATCCCCGTCGTGATCTGGTGAGCACATAAAACCAGTGATTTTTGGCCTGCCTGCTAGGTTCTGCCGTTTAGAACCGAGGCCAGATTCACAACTGAAATAATAATGGGCTTTACAAAAACAATATGGACGGAGAAACGTTTTGCAATATAATTAGCTTTGTTTCAAATACCAGAAAACAATAACGTTTTACATTCATTCGAAATGGCTTATTATGAATAAAATCCCAAAAAATATGCGTCCCTCCCATTTCGAGCCCACCCAGATTGGGTTCGAAAGTCAACGAAATTTGTACTAGCGCGTTAGATTGTGCTGCCACCTGTTGCATTCATTTCTCTCTCTTGCTCTCTGTAAGTTGCATAATAGTCTCAAAAAAAAAGTACGACAAGGCGAGACACGCCGGCAGCCACTCCCAGCCCACCCATCTCAAATATTCGAGGGGTGGACTCGTAAAAATCCAGCGTCGCTCACTCCACTCAAGAACTGCGCGGCTGCGAGGCCTTGTGGCTTCTGACTTAGCGAGCCGTAAGAGCGCCCTATGGGAAGGGAGCGAAAGGAGATGCTTAACTCTAATAGTGAACAATAGATCTCCTCGGAAACATGGTATCTGCTCGGCTTGAATTGCGTCATTAAGGCAGACGTTCGTTCAGCGGCACCGACAGTTTCCAATGGAGCGTCCTTCCAGAAACTTTTTCTCTCAAATGCGAAATGTGTAACGTACGTCGTCTTTGCGTACGTTACCACTCGTTTATTTACATCTTAAACGTGCACAGTGGATTAAATCCACTGCAATATCTTTCAACTGCAGCACGAACAAATGCAGAAATCCTCGTTCTCTCTCTGCACCGTACGCACATTTCTATTACAAATTTTTCACTATTTCATAGATTATTAGCACATAGCCACACAGTTTATAGAGCAGTTCAAAGCTTAAAAAATCATAACACACGGAAAAACGTCACTGCTAAAGTTCGACCAATAACTATTATAGCACATAAAACACCGAAATATGGCTAAGTTTGGGCCTGCAGCGTTGGACAAAATCCCTAGCCTACTGTTGGAGAACCTACTGTTACTGTCGGAGTTACTGTTGTTGTTGCTGCTACTGCTCAATGTCAAGATGAGGGGACCACCAAGACTAGATGGTTGTCCCCATAGCAGGATAGCGATTTTGAGGGAAGCTCAAACAGAAGTGCCCTCTCGCTTCAGGGGCGGGCTCTAGATTGGTCTGGTCCCTCCCTCCCGCTGGCCACAATCTCCACCTTTCGCCGCTACCCAGTTCGCCCAGCAGACGATCGGACGAGGAAAGACGGGAAGAGTGAGCGCACAAGCAATGAAAAACAAAGCAAAGAAAACCCATAAGAGGCGGAGGAGGTCGACGAGGAAGAGGAGAGAAGAAAACGCTGTCTTCCCGCACCGCTCTATCCCCGCCACCCTGACGGGACACAACAACGAGCAGCAGCAGCAGCAGCAGCCGGGGGCAGTACCGGGCGCAAAAAAATTGGGCACTTTTTTCCTATAGTGTTTGATTTGCTCTGAAGCAGTTCACACATCACCTACGTCTGATCGTTTGGGTTTGTGTTAGACAACTGCATCTTAGCTGTACTACATCGGAGACGCTACATTACAGGAGCATTGTAATAATTCTCTTGCACGGAAAAGTCCGCCATTAAAGCAGACAAAGTACTTCTACAGCAAGTCGGAAGATAATCCATTATTAGGTGAAGTACCCACAGCTGATTAGCAGTCATCAAAAGTTCGCTCGATAGACGGACTTCGTCAAGGCACTGAGTGAAGTAGTGGACTGATGATTGTCGACTGACGATTGCCGCAGGAATTGGAAACGAACGTGGACAATGTAAACGTTTGATTCGAAGGAAAGTATCCGTAGTAGTATCTCAAGCTACTGTGAATACGTGTGTGAAATACTGCCCCAAGCAAGATACGTGTCGCATTGGCCTTGGTGTGGGTGTTTTCCAGTGAGGTTTACATACGAACAGTACAAACTGAATAGAGTACAAAAAGTACCTCGTTACCTAAGCGCAATACGTTTTAGTCAGGGTGCATATCTGTCAAGTGCTTTTCCTTTAAGGTACAGAAAAGGACCTAGAGCACTGGGGGAGCACGAACAGATTTATCGAAAAATCGAACGTAAACATGACGGTTACCTCAGCAAAAAAAATAGGTAAGTACCTATATTAGGAATTCACCATTTAATATTTAGGTTATCCAATTTCATTGCAAATTTGTAATGGTGAAAACTAATATTTTTGTAATCTCTTTGAACATGTAGCATCAATGCTCAAGCTTGTCTTTTTTATATATGCCTTTTTTGCTATATGTTGGTTGTAGATTGATGTATGTGCAGGCCAATCGGTCTTCGGCTAGGTCCACACGTAGACTCGTGCCTTGATTCAGAGGGGGTCTTTCTACAAATATTAAGAAGTTGAACAAACTGTCCAGCTGGACACAGAGTAAATAGTTTGTATAACAGAGTGAAAATTAATGCTTTATAAAAAGGCAAAATCCATTATGAATATACTACGTACGTACTATAATAGCAGATTTCAGTTCTCAAAAGGAATTGGGTCTCAGAACAGGACAAACTTACCAATCTCAATTTTGTGAAGACTAAACGTAACGAGGATAAACTTTGTAGTTCGGAAGCGATCGACAGGTTTACATAAAAGAAATTTCCAACCAAATCAGTCGTCCATAGTTTTGCCGTATTCATGTTTCGATTGTATTGTCAGCATGATAAACGACAAATTTCAAAAGCAGGTAAGACATCGGCGATTGCGACATACTAGGGTAAATTTGCAAAACAAAACGCGTAACAACGGGTCTCAACTTTTCGCCTCTAAAATTAAGTGACACGCAGACAGACTACTCACATGGGTGATCTAAACTTGATATACTTCCGACAAGTTAGAGGTAATGAGAGTCCTAATTGAAACAAAAACTGTTAACCGCAATATTAGTAGCTGAGCTATATTGGCGGCAATATTAAAGGTTTCCTACAGAAAACACACTCGAAAGGCTTTTTTTTTTTATTTGACAATCCTGTACTTCATGATGTCCTAGGTGACCATGAAACGACCCAAACATATTAGAAAAGTCTGAAAATAGCTGACAGGCAGTACCTTTCTTATACATCGCTATTATGGCCGTTGCTCAGTTAACAAGGAACCACTAACACCGCGAACGTTTGTTAGTTTAAGGTCTAATATATTTGCAAGTATAGTAATCAACGTATCCAGTCACTTGTTTATAGTAGTCCAGGACTCATCTGTCCTACATTCATCTCGTGAGCGAGAGATCGTTCGGCAATAACAAATAAAAGCTATTAAAGGTATTAAAATGTTGAAAATTACCTTATATCTTTACCTATTATCTTACCGAAAACTAGGAAAGTCATGTTCGTATGCTAAAACAAGGCTTCGCCGCCAACGTGCTTTAATGGAAATTTCGTGTCGCTAATACCAGACGCTGAGTCTAGTCTTTTTGTATTTATTTCCAAATGAAAACGTAGCAATCACAGTGGTTTATAGTGTACATCTATAAAGGCAATATAAGGTTCTGGCACATTCAGTACTGCTTCAAGTACTGTTTCTTACACGACGACTGTCTATGAAGAGAGTCACCTTTACAGACCAGTTCCTCACACCTTTAGATCCAGATAATTTGTGAACAAGTTTACCTAAGTTTTCGTATGTTGCTTTGGCACGCGGCGTCCTTTGTATACAAACGCAATCGTTGATTTATATTAGTTCGTGGAGACAAATTCTTCATATATATACATATATATGTATATATATATACATATATATGTATATATATATACATATATATATATATATAGGAGCATTCTATGCTTCAGTATGATTAAACATGTGCTCAAAATGCAGATTCCAGTTAAAAAATATAGTTTCAACTAAGAGAGTTATTTTACTATGAACGATCACAAACAAAGCCTTATTCTTCCGACAATTGCGATTGATAGACCTTAACCTTAATTACTTTACCTATTCCTAATGCATACACTCTAAAGTATTCATACGTTATTTGAAATGGGAAATTACATAACAATTCCAGTTTGGAAAAGCTGGGAGTCATTTTGCCTATGTTTTTCCCTGTGCAGAGGAATTATATATATAGTAAAATTCAAAGGAAGATATTTGAGGGCACTGTCTGGCTCCATGGTTACTATAAATTGGTTTAGTCCCACATCATAGAGCCTACCAGTATCATCTGCATATGTCTGTGAAGTACAGAGCCTTGCTTCAGGTACAAGCGTGAACTACCCCGTTAGTAGGAGAATGACGCATAGTTCTACCCGCCGTGTAGTCTAGTCTGACCTGCATCCTGAAGGGTTGGTTAAGTTAGGTTAGGTTAACGGAATTGCGAGGGACCACGCGACCCATGATCAATCTAACAGGAGGCCCAGTTGGTCGTTCTGAGGACATCGATGACGCTGAAGCTGCCTGGTGAAGTAGCCTCCCTGGCTGAGGAAATGGCCATGTATGAGATAGCATCAGTCAGGCAAACAGACAGACTGGAGAGGAGAAGGGTTAGGTTCGTATGTTGGAAAGGCTGGAGACATATAGTGAAGTGCTACTTCACAGTTTCTCCGAGGTCACTTTTGATTGCGTTCGTCCATTCAGCTGGATCTGCGAATACGCACCTAATACAAAACAATACATTTTCGCGCTGGCTACAATGGCTAAGTGCGTCTTGACACAAAACACGATCTTAGGACAGCCCATGCGATATATAAAGTGAGTTATTTGCATCTACTACGTATTTTAATTGAAATGATAGTATGCCAGGGACACGTTTAGTCTCTGATAATGCGCATAAGAGTATATCTTCTCAGATTATCGTACTGCCTGTTAGCGGTACATATAAAGTAATACATAAAACAAAATGTAAATATTTTCATCTATTTCGCTGACATGTTTACCATAAACCTTGGCCAGGGGCTCCTATAGGGTAGATCTACTAACACCGACTGAATAGCAAGTGAATCTTCCGCAGCTCATATATACAGCATATAAATAGCAAGTTAACTTGCAATAGATAGATGGGTAAATCCTTAAATAGGCATATACTTTGGTTCATTTGGTCGGCAGTCGAATATATTTACAGCTGTATATGTAGAACTTTACATACATAATATATAGCAAATTAGAATTTTGGTGTAAATATAAACTTGAACGAAATGCCATACTTAATTTTGATACAGTGGTTATTGGGTGACAACATCATGTAGATATTGTAGATTTATGTGCTGCAAATAATTTAATACCGACTGTCGCCTTTATATGCTGAAAAAATGTCCTTAATAGTTAGCGGATATTATGGCCCGAACGACTCATCCTATAGGCTCCAGGCTTAAACAGGCCGTAATCAGCACTATACAGCATAACAGAGTTACATTCAAATCCGCGAGCACACGTATTCCTTTGATTGAGTCAACATCAAGCACGACTTTTTTTTTACAAATCCCACAGCAAAAACGTACCATTCTAGTAGATCGTATGTACACGCAGCTGTCAACTATCGACAAGTATTCTCTCGAGTTTTGTTGATACTAAATAAAAACATTCTCAAAAAAAAAGGCAGTGGAAGAACTGACAGAAGCAGATAGAATAATTAACTTCTAAGACATAGTCGGCAGACAGGATAATTATATTTAGTTTGATTTATTTTTCGTGCAGAAAAATTTAGCCCCTAAACTGGAATATTCCAGGACGATACGGCTAGACACGCTGCATAAGACAAGCTATCCAACGTGTTAATTAATTAACATAATGCACACAATCACAATTTAACTGTGTAAAAGTTGCTGTTTAAAGATGTCAACCGCGTTGGGTCTGGCTGATGCAAACATTATAGCTACTGTTGGCTGGCTACAGCCAACTGCCCCCCGTGGCAAGCTGGGTGCGCTGTTTATGAAAATGATATGTCGGTGGGCTTTAGTTTGCAGCATCCGAGAAGAGCAGGGAGTATAGCGTTCGGCTGGAACGAAAGGGAGGAACCCGCTAGAGTCCTCCAAAGGGGACTTCGCTACCCCCCATCGTCAACGAACCGCTGCTACTGCTGCCGCTACGTCTGAGTCGTTGGATCTGCTATGCTCTATGATTCAGAGGAGATACGGAGGCCACTATATGCTAAATCAGTTTACTTTGCCAGTGAAAATATTGGCGACCGTTATTAACAGTAATTTCGGCTTGCTACGCTTTTTTCTGTTGGAGGACGAACGTAAATTGCATAGAAAGGCCGCATCACTCCATGAAGCATGCAGGTACGAACCGACGGTGAAGGCCTTTTAAACCATACCTAGTTTTATTAAGGATAATAAAGACAAGTGTTTTATTATATGTATTTCAAAGCTGTCAGATTTGAAATGCAGACGACATGTACCTGAATACCTTCCGCGGTCTCACTCATAAGCCACTTGAACTGGTTTTGTCGGTAGACTAGCCACTTCTTCTCGAACATAAAGGGCCTTAATTTCACCTTGCATTTGTTACATTCGACTTCTTTGGCTTTCAACTGCTTTGTGAAATCATGCATCCCTATTTTAATTGAAAGGCGACACACACACTATTCAGTACTGATGAGCCTATTGATGCCATTTCTATGGCAGCACAAATGTTTCTATTTATCCCAAGGGTGTGCGACTCATCACTAAAAATGTTGATTAAATCACATTTAATTTCGAAGGAAATGAAGGGCCTATTCTCGGTAGGTGGCTTGTCCTTTAGTCTCTTCGATTCGGTCAATACAAAGTATTGCAAGCGAACGCGTCATTCTCGACGCGCTCTTCGTCACGGGTTGGCCTTTTTAGATTACAGGACTGGATACCGATTATGCTTTAATTTTACAATTTTTTTTTAGTAGATGTAATATCTAAACAGTAATCTTTATAAGATTAGGCTTCATGTAGCTATACCTTGACTCTTATGCTTTGATTTCCATGAAAATATCTCTATATCGATAGGGATACTGAAGGGTCACATTAGGCTTCTTTACTTTGGCCGAAGATAAGGTCTACTAGTAATAAGTAGTTTCCACTTTGAGACCTGACCATCTGTATGGTCGTAGATAGAGCCGAACTTCTTGTCACAGACAGAAAATGTATGAAGGACTGGGGGTGCCTTGCTTTTATGAAAATACCCC